GCAGGAAGCAGACTGAGCAGCGCAGCGCGTGTCAGTATAACGCGGCACGGTATATCATGCTATAACACTTGTCAGCATGTTGTAACACATTATGACACCTCAGAGTGTAATGATTATAAAATATATTAACACTCATTGTTCTATAAATTTATAGATAAAATTTAGTCGTAAATGGACAAAATCATATAGTACGCTTGCGGAAAAATATAATAATATATATGTATATCTATAGTATAGACACCTATACAGGGTGTCTGATAATTGTAACACACCAACTCCATAGAAGCGTAGAGCTAAACGAAAGAATTAGAAAAGTCCTCTTCCATTTAGCGATAACGCGTCTAGTTTGTTAGTAACAACCGCGTAAAGTTTGGCGTTTGTTACGTCCATCGCGACCTATAGATACTTCGCAACGAGTTGTGTGTGTTGAGGCTGAACGATAACGCGGCGCGTTCATCGTCGCCTCGTCGCGCGCCGGCAGCATTAAAACGTCAAAACGCCATCGCGGCGGTCAGTGCGAGCTGACAATATATATATATATATATATATATATATATATATATATATATATATATATATATATATATACACACATATATATATATATATATACACATATACACAGGGTGTCTCACACTCTCCTCCGGGTATTTTGTGGGGACGTAGAATAGATTGATATGAACATAAAAGTCCTACACCGTTTTGCGATATTCGCAATAATAGTCGAGATATTAATTAAAAAAGGTTAAGGAAAAACGCACGCTGAATGATAGAGGACGATGATTGGAAGACAATGCACCACTGTCTATACTTATACCGCTGTGCTCCTACATCTCGCCTCGACGCGGTGCGGCAAGACATAAGAGCGCAGCGGTATGAAGCCCATTCTACAATTGCGTAAGTGTAGTCGTGAACGTAAAAGTCAAGCAATCCAAATGTTTTATTCACTGATTGCTTTACTCTGATTGGTTGTCGTAATCACTTACAACCGCTTACAACCACGTTCACGCAATTGTAGAATGTGTTTAAAAATAGGCAGTGGTGCACTGTTTTCCAATCACCGCGCGCGACATCCGCGGGCTTTATTACTGGATCGCGCTGTGACTCGAGCGGTCCATCTTCTACCATTCAGCGTGCGTTTTTCCTTAATTTTTTTAAATTAATATCTCGACTATTATTGCGAATATCGCAAAACGGAATAGGACTTTTATGTTTACATTAACCCATTCTACGTCCCCACAAAATGCTCGGAGGAGAGTGTGAGACACCCTGCATATATATACAGATCCGCGTAAAACGTGCCAAAAGAAAAATATAAGTAGGACAGATAAAAGTGAACCAAAATTGTAGTGATGTATGTGTGTGTGTGTGTGTGTGTGTGTGTGTGTGTGTGTGTGTGTGTGTGTGTGTGTGTGTCCCATAAGTTCGGCAACGCCAAGAAAACTCGGCGGGGGAGCATTTTAGAGAAAAATGTTTCGAATAAAAGTTGTAAGGCTTAAAAAGTCGCATTTAATGACAGTAGTTATTTGACCTAAGATAACGTCGCCAAGGTCAACTTTGCTTTTTTAAATAGAAATACATATTTTTTATTACGGGATTTTATTCTACGTAAAAAAGCAAACAACTTTTGCTTGAAAAAATTTTTTATATGACCTCTATTTTCTAAAATATTTACGTAAATATCT